ACCTGATATAGTCGGCCATGGCTAACCTCCCATATTGAGCTGTCAGTTTGCTATGTTTTGGAAAACGCGGATTGATATTCACGCCCATAGAAACATCTAATCGTCATAAGAAAACTTGTTGAATATTCTCTATTAAATATTATTTTTCCCTAAATCGCCCTTTTTTTCATTTTCAATCTGGATTTTTTTTAATTAATTATCAAAGTCAAAAAATTTCACCAAGAGGGACGAAAAGAGGGGAAAAGAGTGGAAGTTGAGGAGAAATCGCTCGCTACGCCTATGCGTACTTTTAAATATTTCCCACCGTTCAGCGTCCTTAAAGTACATATATATTTTTGTTGTATTAGATATAACCTCAAAAAAAGAATTTGGAAGTTTTTAACAATTTCAATTCCAAAATTGTACTGAAATATTAAATTAAAATCGTTTTTATAAATAACATTTTAATTTAAAAAAAATTACTAATGTCAATAATCTTTTCTTTTTATTTAATTCAAATAAGGCTGAAGTATAAATATAATTTATTCGCATTATACCGTCACGCATGTGCCCATCACAATATGCGACAGTTATGGATCGCATATGATGACTCATCTGAGTGGTCCAGTGAACGCGCATAGTGCGGATAAATCGGCACGCGTGCAGATGATATTAGTAGCACACAACGCGCATTTTGTTATCTGGGAGAGTTTAAGACGGTAAACTCGGTTTAGTGAAAATTATGCGTTCCACAAATTTTTAAACTCGGGTCAAAATGGTTAAACCTTGGTTAAAATTAATCGGTCAAAGTTGGGGGTTTAACTCTTAAACCTCGGTTAAATCTCTCCCCACCATAGTATCGTACGTCATATATGTATATAGTAGTTTGAAGTTGAGGTTAAGTTTACAACAAAACATGATAATTGTTATCTTTTATATACTATTAAAAATTATGTTTAAAAAATAAAAAATGTCAATTTCACGGTTTATAGCTGTATAGATGATGACAAATTTTTTATGCACATAGAAGAATCGACCAACCCAAAGATTTTTAAAAATTCCGGATAAATTTTTTTTAACTAATATATTAATCAAAATTGTTATTCCTTATATCAACACGAGTCGATGGATGAATATAATATAAAGTATATATCTTGAATTTGAATTTATAGAATTAATCAAAATTAAAGCAAAAAAATTCGCATTTTTGTTAAAAATTTATTTAATTTAAATGCAGAAGAATATAAAATCTTATTCTTCGCAAGAAAGCGAATAGATTGGCGTAGTTTATAAAATATATGTTGTATTTAAAATTAATAGAATTAATCACAATTGAAGGTGAAAAATTGACTTTTTTAATAAAAATTGTTATAGATTTTTTTGTTGATCGTAAAGACGAAACACAAAATGTTCGTGTAATGAACATCTGATGAATTTACAACTTTTGTTTACTTATGTTTTAAAATTATATTTCTTTAACATAATTTACATAAACAAATTTTTTTGTTCATATGTGCGAGTATTATTATAAGTAAAAATATTTCCACCTAGAATTGAAAAAAATTATTTTTATTCTATATTAAATTTCCTTTTTAATTTCACTAATATTTTTATAGCGTTTTAAACAATATCCCAGTAAAAAAAAAGTATTCAGAAAAGAGAAAAAGTATTGGTGGAGACGTTCGGTGAATGCGTTTTCGCGACAAAACCGTATTGGTGGGTTACGGTGAATACATTTTGCTTACCGTGAATACTTTTTTTTAAACTCTCGATTTAAAGATTCCTAAGCAAAGTTGAGAATATTTATTAAGAGCGTAAGTGACCTGAAGTATAAAAATGACGATTGCGAGAAGGAAATAAGAAATTTTGAGAAAAAACGAAAAATTAAATGTGACAAACCTACAACGTATGATGATGAAAAGGAACATTGACGATACCGACAGAAACTTGAGAAATCCAAGTAAATGTATGTGAAACATTAAGTTCCGCCGGTAACGTCAAAGTTCCTTTTAATCATCATACGTTGTAGGCACAGAAAAGCATATGGTACTTGATCAACATTTGACAATCTGTTTGTCACATTTAATTTTTCGTTTTTTCTCAAAATTTCTTATTTCCTTCTCGCAATAGTCATTTTTATACTTCAGGTCACTTACGCTCTTAATAAATATTCTCAACTTTGCTTAGGAATCTTTAAATCGAAAGTTTAAAAAAAAAAGTATTCACGGTAAGCAAAATGTATTCACCGTAACCCACCAATACGGTTTTGTCGCGAAAACGCATTCACCGAACGTCTCCACCAATACTTTTTCTCTATTCTGAATACTTTTTTTTTTACTGGGATATACTTTTAACTTAAATGCTTCAGAAAGATTCGACTGGATTCCATGTGTGTCAACTGTCAACGCTTTGCTTTTTCAAAACATGTGTCAATGTTCCGCTTTTTACTTCGCCCAATGAAATTGTCAGATATAATAGAAATGGGAGAAAAAATAGAATTATGACGAAAGAGGTATACGTTTAGTTAAGCTGAGTCTCCAATAGGTGCCAATGTAGGTGCAAGTGCCAGTGCCAATCCCCAATACATTTTAAGCTGAGTTTCCAATAGGTGCCAATGTAGGTGCAAGTGCCAGTGCCAGTGCCAATCCCCAATACATTTTAAATGGGTTTGGCACTGGCACTTGCACATGCATATTGGCACCTATTGGAGACTCAGCTTGAAGGGAAAGGGGGCTGGCTATAGCTCACATTCATTAGAAAAAAAATGACGCTAATCCATGCAAAACATCTTACATAGGGGAGGGGGGACTTTAAAAATATGCTTACGTAATACTTGAATGGCCTCATAGGAATAAGGGAATAAGGGGCCATCCACATATTACGTCACGCTCTAAGGGGGGTGGTGCACAGTGGTCTGAAACCTTTGAATACCATGTTATGTTAAAATCCAATTATTTTTTTATATTACTGTCGCCCATATTAGATCCACTATTTTGAATTTTTGAAAACTGACTTTAGATTCGTAATTAGCAACCCAAAAAACATTTCAATACCGTGTTTCATTAAAATCCATTAATTTTTCAAACTTTCTGTCTGCCATATTGGATTCGCCATTTTGAATTTTTTAAAACTGACCTCAGATTCGTAATCAGAAATCCCTGAGAACAAGTTTCATAAAAGTTCATCGAAGCAATTTGGAGGAAACAGTTTTGTCCAGCGCTATATCACCCAGACAGCACGTAAGCTTGCAGCAAGCTTGAGGCAAGCTTGCCGTGCAAGATTGCCAATATTGACGTGCAAGTTTGCAGCAAGCTTGCCACAAGCTTAAAATGTCCCACTCATAGCAAGCTTCATGTGCAAGTTTGCTGCAATATTGCACTAAAAGCTTGCAGCAATATTGCACTAAAGGTTGCCGCAAACTTGATGTAATCTTATATGGAAATTGTTTATTATATAAAATTAATAATTTATTATTAGCAACAAATTTATATTTAATATTTTTAATTTTTATTAAACATTAAAAAATTATAACATCGTTATAATAATAATGTTATTAATTTCCTCAAAGAATTGGAGTTGGGAACTATTATCCATGATCAGTGGATAATAATTAAAAATTGTCAACGTCGTAGCAGACGTTAACTATACACATTATCATTTAAGATAATATGCTGAAAAGTCTGTTCAGCGGACTGATACTTATACTCTGCGCGAGATAAGTCGTGCGCGAGAGAGGTATTGCTCGCCATCTAGTAAGGAGTTAAAGAATTATAAGAGAAACTTCTATTAGTTTTCCAATTCCTTGCTAGATGGCGAGAAATACCTCTCTCGCGCACGACTTGTCTCGCGCAGAGTATAAGTATTGGTCCGCTGAACAGACTTTTCACCATATTATCTTAAATGATAATGTGTATAGTTAACGTCTGCTACGACGTTGACAATTTTTAATTATTATCCACTGATCATGGGGATAATAGTTCCCAACTCCAATTCTTTGGGAAAATTAATAACATTATTATTATAACGTTGATATAATTTTTTAATGTTTAATAAAAATTAAAAATATTAAATATAAATTTGTTGCTAATAATAAATTATTAATTTTATATAATAAACAATTTCCATATAAGATTACATCAAGTTTGCGGCAACCTTTAGTGCAATATTACAGCAAACTTGCACATGAAGCTTGCTATGAGTGGGACATTTTAAGCTTGTGTCAAGCTTGCTGCAAACTTGCACGTCAATATTGGCAATCTTGCACGGCAAGCTTGCCTCAAGCTTGCTGCAAGCTTACGTGCTGTCTGGGCAGTGTTTCAGACCACTGTATGGGGGTCCAGGAAAATGTGACATGGGGGGTGGGGGGTATCACGCATTTGTGAAGGCCTAAGCACAATTGAGTTGGGTTCGGGAGACGGTTTCGGAATATGTAAGATTTACATACATTTTGAGGTTAGGAAGCCCATATCCCGAAGTCGTCTCCCGCACCCGACTCAGTTGTGCTCAGGGCTTGATGTCACATGTTTTACAAAGCACAAAAGATATTTTTTAGTACTTAAATGTATTTGGGACATTCTTTGCCAAGCGGGCTACCCTATCTCTCCATTTTTGTTTTCTTTAAAAAAATTCAAAACCTTTTGGAACAATTAGCTTAAAATATGTCTATTTTTCTTCATTATCTAATTATAAGCTTTTAATGTAAGCAATTCTTGTATTTTTTCGACTGTAAGCTCCATATCTCAGCCGCCATCTTGGATTTTTAAAATCGCCCAACGGTATACAAAAATAGACATTTTAAGCTAATTGTTCCAAAAGGTTTTGAATTTTTTTTAATGAAAACAAAAATGGAGAGATAGGGTGGCCCGCTTGGCAAAGAATGTCCCATATTTACTTAATTAAATACAGAAATTATTGCTTCAAAAAAATTGAATTCAATAACATTGGTGCTATTGAACCAATAGTTTTTTTTCTCAGTCTACATAAATAATAATGTAAAGTCATAAATAACTATTTTCTTATAGGAATGTTGAAGACACACAGTCGGCCTAAAAGTGATGTGACCAGTATTTATGTGACAAAATATAATCGATTCGTGGACAACATTTTGGGAAGGATTAACAAAATTTTAAGCACCAATTACGATCCAGTTACTGTGAAATTAAGTAATCCTAATTCAAGTTCAAAGACAAATAAAATAAAGTCAAAGAAGAATAAAAATTCCAAAAGAAAATCAAATAAAAAAGGAAAGAGAAAAAGTGCTACAGCATCTGCAACAACCATTTCTGAACTCAATTCTGTTGCATTGAAAAATGCAAGTTCACTACGACTTTCCACAGTTGCAAAGGTTTATAAAATTTATAGATAACTTATTTTTTAGTTAACTTAGTTTTTATTTAATAAAAATATGAATGAATTTATTCTGCAGAAAATTGATGAATATTTGAAGGATTCCACTTCTTGGATTGTCAGTACAACTCCCATTATGCAGACAATTACACCTTCAATTCTTGAAGATAACAAGGAATTGATTCAAGTTGTCACTGTTCAGTCGGAAACGGGTCGTCGAGCCCCGTCTCCAATTTCCAGCAACAAGAAAAAAACGAAGCCCAAAAATAAGACAAAAACAAAAACGAAACTTCCCCCCTCTACTAAACCTGCCCCAACTTCTTCTTCTCCTCCTTCATCATCATCCAACAATAAAGTTAGTAATTTCTCATTTTTTACACTTTTCGTATACACAATTTAAAATTCCTTTTTTCTACTCCCTTAGATTAAACCAAAGAAGAGCAAAACGAGAGCAAAAGCTACTCTTTATGGATTGGCTTCACTTCAAAGATCTGGAGATGTTTCTGTAAATATGATGAGTGATCATACAACGATTAAAACGAAATTTAGCTTAGGACCACTTATGTTAAAAGTTGAAAAAGAATTTGGCAGATCAGCAAAGAAAGAACTGAGAAGTGCCACAGCGACAACTGCCGAGATGTCGGGACGATTGAGTCTTCGTGTTCTTAATGGTGGAGCAGCTACTTTGCACTCTATTCGCGTTTTACAACCAAAACAGGTATACCACTGAGAAAAATTTCTATTTCATCTTACCACGGAAAAGGAAAAAAATTAAAAAAGTATTTTGTCAATTTTTATTAAACATCTTCTTTCTTTAATGTTTTATATTCTTCAAACATTTTTTATACATATATATGGGCAATTCCACGTGAGATTTAAGTCGACCTCTTAAAATCGGCCAAAAATATTTTTTTTCTATTCTGTATCGAAAAAAACAGATATGTATTTTTTTATTTATGTTTAATTGTCCAAATTCTCGAGTTATGAATTTTCGAAATTTTGGACTTTTAATTGTAGACCTATATTCAGTAGCTTATATAAGTCCGAAAATATTGAGTTTAGGAAAAAGTTGTCAAAGAATGAAAGTTTTAGTTTTCTTTCGACTTTTAAGAAATATAAACACAAAATTTTTTTAAAAATTTTTTATTAAAAAACAATTTTTTTTATAAACAAATTAATTTTTTTTAACTTTGGGCCGGATTTTTTTTTTATTTTTTTTTTATTTTCTTGTACCTTATAATATAGAGAAGATTTTCCAAAAAGTCCCGAAATGGGCCTGATGTGTTAAATGAGTTTTAAAATATTTTCAAAAATCACTTGCAAGCATCACAGTGGGAGTTTTTTACAATTAACTTTCTAAAACTGCCTACAGCGTATAATTTTTAATATATTTGAGTGTTTTTTGTTTTAAATAAAAGGGCCTACGCTGTAAACAGTTTTAAAGAGTTAAATGTAAAAAAAATCCCACTGTGATGCTTGCAAGTAATTTTTGAAAATATTTTAAAACTCATTTAACACATCAGGCCCATTTCGGGACTTTTTGGAAAATCTTCTCTATATTATAAGGTACAAAAAAATAAAAAAAAATCCGGCCCAAAGTTAAAAAAAATTAATTTGTTTATTAAAAAATTTTTTAAAAAATTTTTTGTTTACATTTCTTAAAAGTCGAAAGAAAACTAAAACTTTCATTCTTTATCAACTTTTTCCTAAACTCAATATTTTCGGACTTATAAGCTACTGAATATAGGTCTACAATTAAAAGTCAAAATTTTCGAAAATTCATAACTCGAACATTTGGACAATTAAACATAAATAAAAAAATACGTATCTGTTTTTTTCGATATAGAATAGAAAAAAAATATTTTTGGACGATTTTAAGAGGTCGACTTAAATCTCATGTGGAATTGCCCATATATGTCGCATATATGTCGCAGGCAGATAGAAAAATCCGGCATTTAGCTTAATGCCTAGGCATTGGGCTAAATGCCGGCAAGTAGATAAATAAATCGTGAAAAATGGTTATTTTTCTATTTGCCTGAAATCAATTAGTCATTTAGCTTATTGACTAGGCGTTAAGGAAATTGCCTAAGTAGCACCCGGCAAATAGAAAAATGAGAATATGTGCATGTGTCACTCAACAGAAATATTAAAAAAAAATATGCCAAAATTAATTAACACAAATATTTTATTATCAATAATAATTATATTTTTTATTTATTAATATATATATATATATATATATATATATATATATATATATATATATATATATATATATATATGCACAAGGATTGGAATTATGGCATTTGGAATTGCACACAGTAACATTATTTTTTTTACACTTGCAAGCCATACTGATATATTTTTTTGTGTAATTGCATTTAACAAATCCTTGTAGCCCAAATTGTGACTCCTCACCATTAAAATGTCGAACTGAAACCATTTTTTGTGGGATTTCTGTCAATTTTAAAAATTTTTCTTCACACGGAGAAAATTGATTTCGGGAATACAAGGAACGAATTATGCCGTGGCGAGTGCCTATTTTTATTTTATATAAACCGTCTGTCGTTACCTCCATTACAATTCCAATTAAATTTCGCAAATCACCTTTGCCCTTGTCGACGGAAGGAATTGGTATTCTTACTGAAGTTCCAACTTCAATGCTGCAAAACTTTTTATTGGAAGCTTCCTTCATTTCATCAGCCTGTATTGAAAGCCCTTCTATTGCCTTGTTTTTATTCTTGGACATATTAATTTTATTAGAGCAAAGAATACACAAAATCTGAGACCCGAATCCTTCATCTTTAGGTGAACTAACTCCACAAATAGTATGCACATATCTATCGCACAGTCTACATTTATGTGCACCTGTAGTTTCTTTTTCGCAAATAGGACATATGTGAATTTCCGGAAGTGTCAAATCATCCACATTTACTTCTCTTACGGCCTTCAAGTTCTCTTCGATGTTATTATTATTTTCTAAAATATTTTGCAAATCTTCTTCTGTTCGCAAGATAAACTTCATGGAGTCTGGAATAGATTAGATGCCGATGTGTGCTCTCCTTCAGATTGTAAAACTGACGGTGTTCCCAAAGTGCAAAATATGTCTAACAAGCAATGCGCAACTTCCTCGGCAGTTTTTGTTTTTAAGGGACGAAGAATGAGAAATTTTGACAAATGATCCTGGTAATTGAGAATTAACTTGTAGTCCCCATCTTTACAAGTTTGCATGTCAATGAGATCTACTTGTGCTCTAAGATTTATTTCTTTAAATAATAATGGTTTAACGACGAGTCCTTTTTTAGGGTGATTTTTCTTTTTTTCACAAACCACACAAAGATTAATAAATTTAACTATAATTGAGTACCTGCATGCAACAACTCGCCGAGCGCTCGGACGCAAGTGCTAGTAACAGTCGGGGAGCAGTGAGCGTCTCTGCGCCACTCACTGCCACCCGACTGGTATTAGAGAGAGCGTCCGAGCGCTCGGCGAGTTGTTGCATGCAGGTACTCAATTTTTCTGCAAATATTTGCGTACGTTGCTGATAGTGCTTTTTCCATTCTATATTCTATTACGACCACCATGACCACAATTTATATGCGAGCCCAAATTTGAAAGTCTTGGGATTGGCTTGGTATTTTGGGAAATTGTTGTCCTATATTAAAGTAATAAATTTGTAAAATATTAGCTCTTTAAACAAAAAATTGTAGAAAATAGTGGGGGTTAAACTTTTGACATTTTAAGTAACACTGCCATTTTCAAAACCATATAACTTTTATAAAAATTTATGGATTTTAATGTTTCAGTAATGAATTTAAAGCATTTTTCGTCTACTTTCTAAAAATTTTACAAAAAGATTTTTAAAAAAAATTTTAACCCCATTTTTTTAAAAAATAAAGTTTATTTTTTAATTTTGACCCTAATGGGTATTTTTAAAATTTTTTTTAAAATTTTTATTGGAAAGCTGACATTTTTCCCGAAAAAATCATATAAGTTTCATAGTGGGATGACCAGAACTTTAGAAGAAAATTGAAAACAAAGTAAGCGGTGCGCCCGGGTTCTGTACGTTACGCCGGCGCTGGGAAGTGCGACGTTGAGCGACATAAATATCACTGTTTTATCTTCATTTTTTTCAATAATAGCTCTCTGCATTTAACCACTTCACTGGCGGGGCGTTCCAAATGGCGTTCCACGCGCCGAGGCCCAGACTGGCAAAAACACCGAAATGGCGTTCCTACACGGAGAGAAGGGCGTAGTAGATTCTACTGACATGGCAGTTAAATCTACTAAACAGAATCGTTAGGTTTGGACTGACGGTACAGACAGTGCCATCTACTGCACTGTTTAGTAAGATAGTAAGATACACTGAGCAAACAGTATATTCTACTAAACAGAGAGGTGTCGTAGTGTATTATACTAAACATACAGTTGGCGCCACTAACCGGTGCACTAAATGATTTACTAAACGCGTTCTGTCACATTTACTGCAACTCTTCTCTCCGTGTAATAAAACTTTATTTTTAAAGAGTGTACACTACTTTTTACTACTACAAAGCAATATTTCTATAGTTTAGACATCAGGGAACAAGATTATCACAATGAAAATTTCAGTTTTTGAGATTTTCAATGTTTCTTCGAACGTTGAAATAGTCGATTTTTAACACTTTTTAACAAATGGCGTTCCACTTTTGTTATTATTAATAATTATTAAATTTTATTTATTAATTATTTATATTTATTTTTTACTTATTACATTATTATATTATAATGTTTTGTATGTAAATATATTTTTTAAATAAAAAATATTAGTTTTACTGTGTAAAAATTAAAAAAAAGTGGAACGCCATTTGGTGAAAAGTGGTAAAAATGGACTATTTCAACGTATGAAAAAACATTGAAAATCCCAAAAACTGAAATTTTCATTGTGATAATCTTGTTCCCTGATGTCTAAACTATAGAAATATTGCTTTGTATAAGTTAAAAGTAGTGTACACTCTTTAAAAATAAAGTTTTATTAGGAACGCCATTTCGGTGTTTTTGCCAGTCTGGGCCTCGGCGCGTGGAACGCCATTTGGAACGCCCCGCCAGTGAAGTGGTTAAACAGGGTTGAGACTGCCATTAAAATAATGCCTGCATTACTTTTACAGAAAAACATTGAAATATATAATTTTGAAGAAAAATGTTTAAACTTTTATAAGTTACAATTATTATTATAAATTAAAATGAGTAATTTTGAAAAAGAATTATTGAAATTTTATAAACAACAATAATCATCAATTAAAATAATTAATTTTGAAAAAAATTTAAGATTTAAGTTAAATAGAAATTGAATATTTTTAAACGAATAATTTTTTTAATTTAATGTTAAATAGTCGTACGATTCAATTATTTATTTTTTATTAATTTATAGAATTTGTTACGAAATCTAATTTGCGAACAACTTGATTATTTTTTAGATTTCTTGTTGCATTTTTTGTTGGATTTTTTTTGTTGTGGTACTTTTGGAGTACTTTTTTTAGTTTTCTTAGTGAAATAGTCACATTTAGTAGAGGACGAATATTCTTTTAATTCCATTGTATTATTGTTCGTAGGTATGAACGCGTGGTATTGCAGTGTACCAGGTACGGTTTGGGCATCATCAAATCTTTTCTTTAATGTTTGAGCTGTCTGAATATAATCGTCTTTGCTACTGTAGAAAGTTAGTGTTTCTTTACAATA